AGTGCTTTCTTAAATGAGAATAATTCTCTAAAAAATTCGATTTATTTTGTAAACTCTAAATCTAATATTTGTTATTTGACAATGTCAGATTGGTCCAGGTACTAAATTGATATAATTTCCAGTAGTAGTTGAACCACGTATACTAAGCTGAACCACTTCTTATGTGCGCAACTGTTTAAACTAATTAATTATAGTTCTGTTTGACACAATTGAAAGATATTGATTTCTTATCTTGTATTTTATAGTTATTTATAATACTATATTTGATAATAATATTAAAGAGATTTTATATGGATAGAAACGTTTCATGAATCGATATCATCAAATCAACCTTTTTTTGCTGAGAAAAATAAAAAGTAATGCAGGAATGTTATATAAAATTCATACATCTACTTGTATAAACATATATGTAAATATATGCTGTAAAACTGAATAAAGAAAACTCACTACCAAAGAAAAACAAAGTTTACGGTGAAAGACCTCTTTAACAAAATGCGGTTTATAAAATGGAATAAAATTTTTTGTTTAAAAAATAATTTTACAAACTAATTATGACAAAGCAAAGCGGGCCTTTGAAATTATAAGTGGAAAATACAAAATTAAACATTTTGTACATTGTAAACTGTAAACTATACACTGTTTAAACTCTACTACTTTTACTGTAAACTATAAACTTTAAACTGTATAAATAATATTTTGTATTACAGTAAACTGTACACTGTAAACTGTAAACTATACACTGTATAAACAGTACTAGTTTTACTGTAAAATATAAACTTTAAACTGTATAAATAGTATTTTGTATTACTGTAAACTGTACACTGTATACTGTAAACTATAGATTGTGAACTGTTGTGTACAGTGTACACGTTACACAGTAAACTGCAACTTTAACTGTAGGATATGTAACTGTAAACTGTACATTGTAAACTGTACACTGTACACAGCAAAAAGCACACTTTAAAAAGTTTACTGCAAACTGTACAATGTAAACTTACAGTAAAAACTTTACAGTTGAAACTGTACACTGTAAATTTTACACTAATAACTATAGTAAACTTTACACTGTTAATTGTAAACTGTAAACTGTGCTCTTTAAAATGAGTACTTTACGTTGTAGACTGTAAACTGTACAGTGTAAACCGTATATGGTGCCTGTACACAGTAAACTGTGCACTGTGTAAAGTAAACAACATATGTGTAATTTAAAGCTAATTCAACAATTATGCAGTTTCTAAACTTAAAAGCAAAGAATAAAACAATAAGATATTTATTTCTGTATTCTCATTTTATGCGTTTAGAAACAAAAATAATTGTTATAAAACACCCGGTGCATTTTAATGCATCAGCAAATGCGTAAGCTTACGCATTATGCGTAAGACAGGTAAGCAATCTTTACGCATGAAACTGTCAAACAAATCCCTAGTTAGACAGTAACGAAACAAAACTATATTTTAAGGACGGAAAAATTTGACAGTTCAATATTTTAGTTAAAGTACTTTCATACTTTAATGGCAGGAATGAAGTTTCTTCTAATAAGCTATTTTACTGTTTAATTATATGCGGGTTTCCAATATTATCTGCAGCTGCAGACAAGAACTGATTTCTCCAATTTATCACGGTTGCATTTTGAAATCAGAAAAAACCCTTAGAATCATGAAAATCAAAATTAATTGGTAAAATTTAAAGTTATAGATTAAAGAGACACTGGACAGTTTGTTCTTTTTTAAGTTTTACAATAAACTTTCAAAGGTTTCAAGGTGGAAAAAAATAATTAATTTATTTAAAGATTCGAACATAAAGAGCATCTAGCATCATGTTCAAGAGAACTGTTAATCTAAAAGGAGTTCCAAGTGTTCAAGGGTTAAAGACCACAAATGTGTGAAGTACACCTGCGCCCTAAATTTAAAAGAGTATCGTTGAATGAAACTCCCGATTTTCCATTTTGGGGTCTTAACATTTAAGTAGATTTTTATTTAAGAGATTCGAAAAAAAAGAGAATACGAAGAAACTAAATAAGGTAATATTTCATAACAAAAGTATTAATATCTACAAAACTGCCTAACCACATTCATGAAACCCGGGTTTCAAAACTGGTTTTAATAACGATACCCTGTTTTAAGTTTTGGGCTCAGCGCCCTAAATTTAAAAGAGTATCGTAGAACGAAACTCCCGAGTTTCCTTTTTGGGGTCTTCACATTTGTGTAAATTTTATTTAAGAGGTTCGAAAAAAAATGAAGAATATGAAGAAACTAAATAAAATAATATTTCCTAACAAAAATATTGATATCCACAAAACTGCCTAGCCCCATTTGTGAAACCCGGGTTTCAAAACTGGTTTTCATAGAGATACCCTGTCTTAAGTTTTGGGCTCTGCTGTGGTATGGTGACACTTTTTTTTGCAGTTAACAGCTCTTTTATTAATTTTTTTTTGTTTAAAGTCCAACATGAAAATCAAGAGGAACAAGTGCACCATTTTATAAATAGTCCTGTTTTTACCGCATTATTTTTTGTTCCTAATCTTGTAATTGTTAGTTCACCATCTTATTAATCTTTTTAATTACTAATCTCAGACTTGGAAATCAATCATACAGTGTGTTCAAGAAACTTTATTTTAAATTTAAAAATATATAATTGTTTTTTGTTGTGAAAAGTAGTTGTAAAGGAATAAAAGAACACAAAATGTTTGATTAAAGTTTTTCTCGTATTTTTGGACTATTTTCATGGTCTATTTTTTCTTGCTTTTAAGAAACTTACTTTATGAACAAATATTTGTCAGTTTCGGCCATAATCCTTCATTGTAAATGGACAATGGACATGTTCAGTTAAAAATGAAACTTGATTAAAATCTGCTGGTACACCTGGTCAGTAAAAAATGAGTTGATTTCATTTTGAATTAAATCAAGATCATAGATTAATAAATTCACAGATCTAGATTCTATCTTAGTTGTTTCTTTCGTCTCCTTTAAAATGTAAACAGTTCTAATAACCGGTTTAGTAGATAGAGAATATATGCGACATCTCAAGTGGAACTTAGTGTCCTCGTAGCTCCTCCAACTTTTGATTTAACGCAGAAATATGAGTAGAGCAAATCAATCCGGCTACATTATAGAAATTCAAAACATTGGTGTTCCATTAGACGATTTATGAAAAAAAATATAAGATTTCAGTCTCACGCAGGTTTTATCTTGTTTGGCGTGCAGTAAGTTTATGCAGAAGAAATTCAATACCCGAAGAAATTCAAATTCCGAAGAAATTCAAAACATTGTTGTTCTTTTCCATTAAACGAGTTATAATGAAAAAAAATATATTTTATTTTGTTTTATCTTGTTTGACGTGCAGTAAGTTTATGCCGAAGAGAACATATCTAATACAACTTACAAAAATAAGTATTCAAATTCGAGAATAAAGAATGATAGAAATAGTTAAAAGGTTTATATCAGGACAAAGTATTATGACTTTTTTTAATGCAAACCAAATCTGTTTTTCTATTAATCTATGACATGGTAGAACCAAATCTTTAAGTATTATAATCTATGGAAGAGCTAAATATTTGTTAATATATGGTAGAAATAAGTATGTAAATTTATTATTCTATGATAGAATCAGATCTGTAAATATTATAATCTTTGGTAGAACCAGATTGTATATTTATCAAGCTATGGTAGAAATAAGTCTGAAATTTTAGTAATCTATGGCAGCAACAATCAATCTCGGTCGATCTAGAAAATAATGACGGTGTTTCAGGTCAATTCTGCAAACTCTGGATAATTGGCTTGATAGTAGCTAGTTGATGGTTTTATGGTTGAGGCTTGTTATAAAATCCTCTTAATTCACCTTGTCTTGTCCGGTAAAATAACCAAAATCTTCAAATATTCGCAAAGATTCAGCCTGCTCACTAATTTTTAACACATTGGCATCAGGATACAGGGTATAAAGAGGAGAAAAAAATACTACAAAGAAACTGAGTTTTTGTCACAAATTCTGATTTTACAATCGCTAAATCTTTGCGCCTGATGGGGTAAGCCTTTGATATTTCAAACTATCATTATTTGATCTAAAATGATTCATAGTTTGAAATATCTAAGGTCTCCGACGTTGAAATGCAAAGATTTAAGAAAAAGAAAATCAGAGTTTGTGACAAAAACTCAATTCCTTTAAAAGCATAATTTTTCAGGAATCATTTTTTAAAGTCATTGACATGTTATTGAGTCTAGTGGCCGAATTCCTGCCAAATACCGTACACTAAAGATTTCCTTTATTGTGATGAGTATTATATTGGTCAAGAATACTTTTAAAATCTAAACAATAAATGAAAACTTGTTTTTTTTCTTTTCTCCTAAAGGAATTAAGTCTTTGTCACGAACTCTGATTTTCTAATCTCTATATCTTTGCAACCTAATGTCGTAAACCTAAGATATTTTAAATTAGGAAATCTGTTACATCAAATAATCTAAATTAAAAATATTAAGGTTCATACTATCCGGTTGCAAAGATATAGGGATTAAAAAATTTGTGTGTGTGGCAAAGAATCAATTACTTTTTGACATTTTCTCAATCTTTCTCTATAACTTGCACTGCTTTTCAAATATGATAGTTTATATAATAGTTTATATATTCAATTTTTTAATATTTTCAAACTTGTTTTATTTAGAGCTGAACTTTGTATGAAACGGTTTATAATTTTGCGTAATTAGATAGATTTTGATGATTATGATAATTAACAAAAAAGGAAATTTTTTTCAATATCTTCTTAGAATCGGTCTTGCATGATGTTAATTACAGACTTCCTTGATAATCTTTCTTGTTTTTAAAGAGAATGTTTGCAAAAAAAATGTCGAATTTTGACGACAAAGATAAAATGCTGACTTTTTTGACATAGTTTTTTTTTGTTCGAAAAGGATTTCAATGTTTTTTTTCCTTTAAAAATATTGATATTGTTTTGTATGTTTCACAGACGTACACTCTCTTTAAGTTGTAGTAATTTGTCCCAAGTTTACCTCATTTTTGGTGCATTTTCGCATCCTGCATCCTGCACATCTTGGGGATACAAGTATCAACTAATTGCCAATACTTATTGCAAAACTTGTCTCCAGGAGGTGCAACAACTTCTGCAAATGTCACAATATGTTCAGCCCTGTTTAGTGTCAGGTGTTTAATCTTGACTTAAGAATAAAAACAGTTGAAAACAAACAATTGAATAAGGTTAGGCGGCCATTTTATCCAGTAAAGAAAAGTGTTGACGGATTTTTAGTTCATCCAGATCAAGAATGTAATGCAAGGAAAGTTAATTGCGGTCGCGTATACTCTGCGTACATATTGAAACCTGTTCTCTTTGGGCGGATTTTGTAAACAAGAATAGATGTATCAGTGTTCGTTTAGTATCCGAGGAGGTTAAAAGCATTAAATTTTGATAATTTTGATAATTCACACAATGATTAGAATATTTCATTGATTTTTTATGTGAAAGATGGATCCCATGTCAGGCTTCGACATCCGTCTTGTGTTTAAATTACCGCCCAGTGACAGTACACTGCCGTACAAAAGATGCGTACACCTCTGAAATAACTTTCCTTCCATTAAATCCTTGATCCAGATTAACTCTAAGATGCTTTTTACATCTTGAGGATTTTTTAAAAGTATTTAAAAGCGGGATATTTGTTCCTTGTTAGGACATTGATCTACAACTGTCAGTAAGCTAGTGTCTGAAGTGAGAGTGAGGAGGGGGGATGAGGGGGGGAGACGAGAGGCTGAGACGGAAGACTGCAGCTCCATCCACCGTCCACCAGACATCAGACGGTCTATATTACACAGACATTGTCCGGAGAATTAAGGTAGAGGTGAACGGTGCTCTGCAGCGCAAACCACCGGTTAAAACAACAGACTCGGATGTAAAAATGACGCAGCATTATATGCACATCATGTTCAACGGATAAATCGGTCAAAAGTCTGTATTGTATAATCTGCTTAGTTTGGATTTCTCCACAAAAAATTGAAATTTTATTACAATAATACTAAGATATTTAATCTGTGAAATGAAACAGGTTTTTATGCATTTTTAAATAGATTATTTCTTGAAGGAAACCAGAACAATTTAAAAATATTTAAAATAAAAATAACATCATTTATCACAGACTCACGGTTAATCAAAATGTAAAACGTAAAGAATTTCTTTGGAATACGACAGCATATGCAAGGGACTCTGGGGGACAACGGCCGGCACAATCCCCCCTAATTACAAAAATTATGGGGGGGGGGGCCGCGGGGCGCCAGACTAGACTTGGAAGGTTAAAACGTTTTACTTTCTGAAGAGTTTAGTTGTTTTTGTATAATTTTTTCAGAACTTTTTCCCAGTGACCATGTTTTATTTGTATACTTTGTAAATTTTTGGTTCAAGAATATTTAAAGTTTTTTTTCTCTCTTGGAAAAACAACACTTTTTCATGAATTTTATTATATTTTCAGAAAATGAAATAGACGAAAAAAAATTTAATTTTTAAATAAGAAACATAAGTGTGAGAAACTGAAGTAGACATGTCAAATGTGACATTACTGGTATAAATTGCGACCTCGTAGCTCATCTAAATTTTATTCTACGCACAATTTCAGCTTTTAGAAGCTCAACACATTTTTGTTCTTCTCAATAGCTCTTTAATAAGAGAGTTCTGATTGAAAACATAAGAGAATTCAATCCTACGCGAAAGGAATAGAGTCTATGCAACAAACTCTGATTCTCTAATCTCAATTTCTTTGCGACCTGCAATATCCTAGATCTTAAATGAATAAAGAAATAAAGTAAAATTCTAATTAAAGGATTAAAGGGGCCAATTATTGCTATTTACTTCAGTTGCTTTGCTGAATAATGCCATGGTGGTCGAATTCTGGAAAAATCTTGGCCTGGGAAAAAAGAAGACCCATCTGTGAATCATTAAAGCCACTCTTTAAATTCACGTACGTTTTTTATTTATCAAGCAATGTATTATTGATCATATTTTGCAGATTAGTTAATCAATGATCATGTTCTGCAGATTAGTTAATCAATGATCATGTTCTGCAGATTAGTTCAATGATCATGTTCTGCAGATTAGTTGATCAATGATCATGTTCTGCAGATTAGTTAATCAATGATCATGTTCTGCAGATTAGTTAATCAATGATCATGTTCTGCAGATTAGTTAATCAATGATCATGTTCTGCAGATTAGATTTTAGAAATTTTATGATTTATTTTGATTTCGCATTTAAAATGCAAAATTTGCAATCAATTTTCTCCATCAGTAATTAGTGTTTATAAAAACTACCATGTCTTTTATCAGCTTTATTCAGCAAAACACTCATAGCTCATTAACTCATTAGGGATAGCTAGGGAAACAACAAGAATATACATCTCTATCAAAGCTATATATATATATATGATTTATATATTTGATACATCCATCTATATACATATTATGTATATATTTTTTAGTTGAAACGCAACAATCTTATTATATTATATATATATATGTATTATATATATTTGATATATCCATCTATATATATTTATTTATATATTTGATTTAACAAGATCTCACGCCAAAACTTGAGACAAATAGGTAAAGAGTTTTTCCTATTAATGTAAACCCACTCAATTTGGAATTGAAAACCCAAGCTAAGAACATTCCCAAGTAAATGAGTAAAAGGGGTTCCCGGCCGAGTTAAGATCGGACATACAAACAAAGATTACTTCTTAATATAAAAAAATCGAATATTTTATTTGAGATTGCTGGTAAGACATTCTGACCTTCACTTGATTTTACATTAGAGCCACATATCAGAAACTCAAATCTGTATTGTTCTTCTCAAAAGCCCTTCAATATGAAGAGTTATGATAAAATAAACATATTAAATTTCAATCTTTATATTTACTTAAGCATATCGTTGGAGAAGAAAATGACTCAAATTTAAATATGATATAAATAAATATTTGTTACCAAGGCAAAAAAAATAAAACTTTAAAAGTATTTATCCCTAGTCTCTCCGTGTTCTTCTTCAGGACTGAGAGAAAATAGATATTTAAGCCGTGAAATTTTTCTATTCTGAAGAATTCGAGACTTTTTTGATGAAATTTAAATATTTGACAGAAAAAGTGACGTGAAAGACTTGAGGAAATGAAACCGTCTCTAGCATATTATTCATTTTCATCATTAAAGGGACTGTGCAGTATAAATATTAAGTAAGTTGGTTAACTTCACAAAAAGTGATTTTTTGTTTGTTTAATTGATGAAAGCCTTTGTTTTCATGTTCATATTCCGTTACAATTTTTTATTTTTCGTTCAATATTTTGCGTTAAGCGTAATGTATCCTTTAAAATTCTAGAAAATTAATAAAACTAATACATTTCCAAAATGGCATGCCTAAAATTGCTTTAATATTTAAAGGGTTTATTAAAGCCGGTCGAAAGGCTGATGAGTTCAATAAATCCGCAAAAGTTTGCCCAATTTTCTCGAAATGGTGATCAATATTTTTCTGTACATCATTAATTAAAAGTTTTGACGTCAATTGATATTTTGTAAAAAATAATAAAACTATGAAAATAGATATTTAACTTTTATTTGTCGAGTTAACTTGTAGGATAGAAAAGTTGTGGAATATATAAGATAAATGATATAAATATACTGAACGAGATAGATAGATAGTTAGAGAGTTACTTTATCAATATAATAAATCTATAAAGTTTGATGATATCAAGATATATTATATAAAGTATATTGTGTAAATATATATTTTACAGTTTTTCCTTGGCTCTTAAACACTCTCCACTAAACCCCACAATTCATTCGGTCAGAGTGCCACAGATTGCAATAGGTTAGAATACCTAGAATTTATACGAGGTGTGATCAATAACTTTTGCAAAAAAAATTAAGGATTTTTTCTCAAAGCCTCAGCTCAAATTTTTTTTATTAAGTTCACTGGGACTCAGAATTAAAAAATGAATATTTAAAGGATTATGACATGTCTCGACGGAAAAAGACCATCAAGTTCTTACAAAATGGTCAAAAATTAAAATTTATCAAACCATATTAGTAGGGATTCTAAAAGTATGTTTGCCAGACAGTTTGATATGTGATTTTACATTGTAAACAAAGTTGCAAAGCAAGATTTGAAAATGGAAAAGATCTGTGTTAAAATTGTCTTTGACATGGCTAGAATGGCGTTTATTATGGATCTCAAAAGTAAATCAAAACCAGAAAAATTCTCATAGATTCAATACTCAATCTACTTTTTTGTTAGATTGCTCTTAAAAAGAGTGTAAAACACACTCTGATGAAATAAGTTTGAGATTATTCTGAAAATTTTCTTGCTATAACAACGGAGCTGATTTCAGTTCGGGAGGACGCTCTTTTACATTACAACAAAGATCTGATTGACATCAACTGGTAGCCAGTATAAATAATTTTCCAGAAAGAAATTAAAGGGCAGAGACTTCTACAAGTATCTCTATTTTTTTGCGAAACTTATTGATCACACCTTGAACATATTATGTTTTCCCAATTTGCAAAACAAATTAATTTAAATAAACATCAATTTTATTTAAATTAACATTTAAAGGATGACTTGAAGATGGTTAATGATCTTTGGAATAATTCGCGCTAATCAGTTATATTTATATATTTATAGGCAAATTCTTGAAAAACAATAATTTCAATTTTTCTAGTCCTTGCAATTGTAAATTTCTGGTCAGCCTTTTTGTGTTTAAAAAAGTTTCGTTCATATTTATATTTTTTTTTAAAAATAAAAACATGATGGATCCAACAGTTATTTTTCTGTGTTATTATGTGTTATTATTTACCCAGAAGTCAGAACTTTTGTATTGTGAATCTAAGGATCAAGCATTGATATGCATCTTGTACAGACCTGCAGATCAATTCAATTCCTCATAGATATCCTGTGGTCTGTATACCCTGCAGGGATAACTTGAATTGAGGGATCAAGCATTGATCCTCAAATACATAAAATGGATTTAAAAGCTTATTTCATGTCTGGTGATTGAATTTAAAAAATGCCCATTCCAATATGTTTTCTAGTCTTGCTAGAAACAAATATCTTTCAAATCCTTTATTATCTGTTTGAAAGACTTGTCCCTAATTTCCACGGAACTATTACGCCTAAAATACAAAAAATTCAACTAGTTATTGCGTCGTTTTTGCGGACAGGAGACTTAACATTTCTGCATAAATACTGGGAGAGGGGATTTAGGTTTTAAGAATGCATTTTGTATTGCAGGCAACATTTTTATCACTTGTTTTAAGTTTTCTTAACAATAATTCCTTCGAAAATGTCCCAAAATTGCATAAAATGAAATCCCTGTGAGCGTATGCGCATAAATACATCATAATAAAATTTTCACACACATTTCCCCCAGAATAGAAGACCCTAGGGAGCTTTTTTGCACATTAGGAGATCATTAAACATAGTTTTTGCATTTATCTAGGCAAGAAAATTCGACTCGTTGATATTTTGTTTTCTGTTTTCTGTTTGGGCTTTGAGTGAATAGGAATGGGGCGAGGGACCAGGGAGGAGTGAGGAAGGGTGGTTTCATAATTTTCTTTTTTTTGGGGGGGGGGGCTAAGTTGGTCTAGAATGGTAAAACGTTTATTATAATA